CTCTGTTAATTAGCGGCTGACTGCCGCTATCGCGGGGATTTAGTGTTGCAGTCACCAACGCCCCGGACAAGAGGGACAGTGGTTGAGAGACGACAACACTGGTTTAAGGTATTCTTATATTCAAAGTACAAGTTTGGCTATCAGTTTTGACAGCCTTCTGGATTACCCAGAGGCCATAACCTAATTTAATGCAATCTTTATTTTGGTTTAATATGCACTCTGGATAATGCTAAGACACACACAGAGAACTGTGCACACGCACATGCAGAGAAGCATAAGCACACTCACCCACACACATTAAGAAGCATGCACAAAGGATGACCACAGAAGCATGTAGACGCAGACCCCCTGAAGGCTTGTGCATGCCACACGAACAAGCAAACTGAGAAAGACTACTCAAAGACACCAAAATAATTAAGACATTGTCCAGCCCCCTGAAAAACTGCCCTAAGTCAGAATATGCCACACTACCCTAGAGAGCTTCCGTTTAATACAGCTTCTTCTATTTAAAAAGCTGTATCATTTCGTTCATCCTGCTAGACTCTCTGAATGAACTGTAGATCAGGCTTCCCCAATCTCAGCACCTTCCAGATGCACGGACGTCCAGTGCCCATAATTCACAGCTATGGTCGAGCCAGGTTGGGGGAAACTGTCATCCGTCATTGGAATGATCATATAGATTTAGAACAGTAGCTTGGTTTCCTTCGTAATGATCATATAGATTTAGAACAGTAGCTTCGTAGAACAGCTAAAAAACACAGACACACAAGCGTATCAGTGAAGACAATTCAAGAAACGAGACTTGAAATAAAAACCAAAACATGTGGGACCTGAAACAGTTGTGCTGATGAGAGTTGTCCTTTAGTTCATTTTATTCTGTCTCTGTGCTCAGTTCTCTATACCTTCCCACTATTTTCTCCAATAGTCACCAAATATGGTTAGTTCTCATTCAGCTATTTTGGGGGTGGGATTTTCCCACTCCTGGATATCCCCCACTCCAAGGAGATTTCTGTACTCCTTCAAAGAGTGATCTTCTCCCAAGCTTAACTTCCTCCTTCTTCCACATTTGTGGTGTTACCATAGCTGCATGTTCAGATATACTCTGAGCCTGAATGTTGGAAATAGGGGACTTGGTATGGTATCTTCAAGCTCTTCAAAGATCAAGGTTTATTCTATTTGTTTGTATCTAACCCCTGCAATGAAGAACATATGAAGAGTCTCCTCCTGGATCTGACAAAACATCTGCCTAGTTCAGTCCTCTGGTCAGTGTGGAAGATGGTCATCCACATTCAGGACCTCTTATGGTTGCAGTTCTGACTCTGCATGGGTTTTCACACATGCACTGGGTGCAAAGCCAAGAACATCTATTTTTTCCCTTCTTTGTGGATTCCCTGATGTCTAATAAGGGTGGATTTGTGACTAAACCCCTTTCCGCACTTTGAGCATATGTAAGGCTTCTCTTCCGTGTGATTCCTCTGGTGTCTAACAAGATGATGGCTGTAAACAAAGCCTTTCCCACATTCTGAACACTTAAATGGTTTCTCTCCAGTATGGATTCTCTCATGTGTCTTCAACTGTGATGGTCTGTTGAAGCTTTTCCCACATTCTAAACATTTATAAGGTTCTTCACCCTTATGGGTTCTCTCATGATTATGAAGACTTGAAGTCTGGTTGAAGCTCTTTCCACACTCAGAGCATTTGTATGGTTTCTCTCCAGTGTGGATTCTCACATGGACCACAAGGTTTGATTTGAGGCAAAAGCTTTTCCCACAATCTGAGCATTTAAATGGTTTCTCTCCCGTGTGGATCCTTTCATGTCTACCAAGGCTTGCTTTCTCTCCAAAACCTTTCCCACAGTCAGAGCATTTATAGGGTTTCTCCTCCATTGGCATCTTCCCCTCTGGAAGGTGAGTCTGGTGGTGCTTCATAAAGTAAGAAATTTGCCGGAAGCTTTTCCCACAGTCTGGACACTTATATGGCTTCTCTCCAGTATGAGTCCTCTCATGTTCTTTCAGGTTTCCAGCTTGGCTGAATCTTTTCCCACAGTCAGAGCATTTATATGGTTTCTCCCCAGTGTGAGTCCTTTGATGGGCAATGAGATTAGAGCTTGTACTGAAGGATTTCTCACAGCCTGAACATTTATACGGCTTCTCTCCTGTATGAAACCTGTAATGTGTGGCAAGCTCAGAGTTTTTCCTGAAACTTCTCCCACAGTCCAAGCAAGTATATGGTCTCTCGCCAGTGTGGGTTTTCTCATGTTCTTTCAGAGACCCAGATCTGCTGAACCTTTTCCCACAGTCTAGGCATTTGTACGGTTTCTCTCCCGTATGGGTTCTCACGTGCAAAACAAGGCTTCCTTTGTGGCTAAAGTTTTTCCCACAATCAGGGCACACAAATGGTTTTTCTCCTGTGTGGATTCTTGCGTGTGCAATGAGGTTGCCTTTTTGGTCAAAGCTCTTGCCACAATCCAAACATTTGTATGGTTTCTCTCCAGTATGGATTCTGTGATGTCTAATTAATTTAAAGTGGGCATTGAAGGATTTCTTACAGTATAAGCATTGGTATATTGCCTCCTCAGCTTGAACTTTGCTGCATACCAAACGCTTCCCCTGTTCATGGTCACAGAGTCCCTCCTGGCTTGTGATTTCACTTCCCCACGAAGAAATGGATTTAGCTGCAGTCTTTTCCAGAGAGTTGTTCTGACGCCTCCACAGTTCTTGGGAACCTTTCACAGGTTCTCTCTGCCCAACATTGCTACACACATTCCCTTCAGCTATTCCTTTGCACAGATGGAGCTCCTGTTCCTCAGGCTTCCATTGGTGGTCCTCATCTTTTACCTCAGACACATAACTCTTGCCTGAAAGAGTGAGAAGAGATTTAAAAAAACAATACAGGTAGTCCTCAACTTATGACGGAAATTGGGACTGGAATTTCTGTTGCTAAGTATAAAGTGTAACTGCACTGCTTAGTGACAGCAATCCATAACCGAATCCTGCAGTGGTTAGGCAAGGCAACTTCCTGCCGATTTCCCACAACCAGTCAGTGGGGGAGCCGGCAGGAAGTTGCAAGTCCCAGGCCAGCAGGCTGGTAAGTGGCTGCTGCCAGGTGTGGGAAGGAGTGCAGGGGTGCACAGCAGTGTGGGGGAGGGTTGAGGAGCACATGTGAGGGGGTGAGGAGTGTATGAGAGGCGCAGTGCAGGTCGGGAAGGATGTGCGGGGATGCACAAGAGGCATAATGTGGGTCGGGGAGGGTGCGCGAGGGAGGCATGGGTTGGGGAGAGTGCATGGGGGTGCGCAAGGGTGCAAAGGAGGTGCGACAAGGGTCTGGGAGGGTCAAGAGGGTGCGCAAGCAGCACAGCATGGGTTGGGGAAGGTGAACAGGGGTACAGCAAGGGTTGGGGAGGGTACGCAGGGGTGTGAGGGGGTGCATGAGCAGCACGGCGTGGGTTGGGTGCACAAGGGTGTGAGGGGGTGCATGAGAAGTGTGGCAAGGCTTGGGAAGGGTGCACGAGGGTGTGAGGGAGGCACAGCAAGGGACAGTGAGGGTCCACGGGAGCATGCGAGTGACTAGCACAGTGTGAGCACAAAGGGGCTGGAGGAGGGTGTGTGGGTGGGGGAGACTTACCCCACCGACTTGCAACCTTTCCCGCCAGCCTCCCCACTGACTTTCTGGGGAAGCTGGCAGAGAATGTTGCAAATGGTGATCATGTGATTGCAGGGTGCTGCAACAGTCATAAATGAGAACCAGCTGTCAAACAACCAGATCGCGATCACGTGACCGTGGGGGTTCTGGAATGGTCAGAACTCCGAAGACTGCTCGTAACCACCATTTCTTCAGCGCGGTCATAAGTTCAAACAGTCGCTGAACGAATGGTCGTAGGTCAAGACTAAGTGTAAGCCAAGAGTTTGTTTTCTTGTTTACCAACTTGTATACAGCTCAATCACCAAAGTAATATGTATCACACATTGGAGAGGATAGCCAACTCAAAAACAATTATAACAATCAGAATAGACTATCAGGGAGCAAGCCACCACATGCTGTTCCAGGGCCTGCTGAAGGAGCCAAGTTTGTATAGCTTTATGAAAGCCCAACAGGTTCAGAGGAGGAACAACACTGTTCCACAGGGCAGCTACAGAGAAGGCCCGCCTCCTGGATGGCAACACTCTACAGCTGAGACTTGGGCACACCAGTTCTTCCAGATCACAACAGTCAGGCTTGAAATTATGGAGAAAAGGTGGACTATACAGTCGTGTGAAAAAGAAAGTACACCCTCTTTGAGTTCTATGGTTTTACATATCAGGACATAATAAAAATCAGAACCCCCACGGTCACGTGATCACGATCTGGTTGTTTGACAGCTGGTTCTCATTTATGACTTGCTTTCTTTTTGTAAAATAAATGATGACATGGTGTAATATCTCATGTGTTGTTGTTTATCAAAAGTTTTACATATCAGGACATAATAAAAATCATCTGGTCCTTAGCAGTTCTCAAAAGTAGGTTTTGATAAACAACAACACATGAGATATTACACCATGTCATCATTTATTTTACAAAAAGAAAGCAATTAGCAATTCCCCCCACCAGTTTTGGATCATCTATAAATTTGATGACCAAACCTTGTATTCTCTCACCTAAATTATTTATGAAAATGTTAAAAAGTACTGGTTCCAGGACAGAAGCTTGGGGTACCCTACTGGATATTATTCCATATCCATACTGACATAGCACGATTAAGAACCGGACAATGGGTACAGTAGCTCAACCAGCAGCAAATGCCTCTGGTAGTTGGATTATCCATCCCATACTGTTCCATTTTATCAAGAAGGCAGCTACGGACAACTTCATCAAATGCCTTATTGAAATCTAAGTACACCCCATTTGTAGCATTCCCTTGGTCTACCTATTTCTCTCACCTTCATTATCTTCTGTCTGGCCAAAAGTCACGGCTTCATCTTCCTTTTTAACTCTATCTGGGTCAAAAAGAATCGTGCTGGCCTGCATCTTCTGCAGATCTTCCTTTTGACTCATCCTGGACATCTGAACATCCTCATGGAAAATTGTCTGGAAACAGGTCATAGGTTTTTCATCCAGCCTGTTCTTGTCTTCTTTGGGACATAGGGATCTCCTCTATGATCCTATTCAAAACATGGCTACCTAATCAACAACAAGCAAAATAGAAATGTTGTGACGATGGTTGTGTAAAACACTTGCTATATAAATCAGTTAGGTGTATTTGTATTTTTTCTCGTGGGTTCAGTGTTTCTGAAATAGGCAATCATGGGAGAATCAGTACGGACATCCTTTTCCAGGTTATTGAGTTTATGAAGACAGGTTGAGGTTCACACTCTAAGAGCCACAGTAGTCTAGTGGGAATGGTGCCGGACTAGGAGTGGGGAGCCCCAGGTTCTGGGCCCCCCTCAGCCATGGAAGCCTCCTGGGTGACTTTGAGCCAGTCACTCTCTCTCGGCCCAACCCACCTCACAGGGTTGCTGTTGCATGGGAAAGAGGGAGGAAAATTAGGTATGTTTGCCACCTTGAGCTGATGAAAACATATCCATAAATAAATATATAAAACAGGGGGATAAAATATAATAATAATAATAATGGGTGCAATGAATCAGAATTGACAGGGTTCACACATGCTAAGTACTATCATCAGACGGTAGCGGTATGTGGGAATGGCCTTGGGAGACAGGAGGAAGACCCGCAGCCTAGGGAATGGTCTGATAAGAGGCAGCTCAGTCCGCAGGTGGGGGGAAAGCATGGGAAGCATTTCAGTTTTCCGGAGATTAAAGAGAGAGGAGGGGAGAAATACTTTCAGTCCTGCAAGATTCTGTTAATGTAACCTTACAATAAAGTAGGAGTAGTTCATCTGGATGTGCTTCTTGTCTGGACTACTTCGCAAGGCTGACGTAGCTTAAAAACCACAAACACAGACTATGTTACAGCAAAACAAAGGATATTATGGTTAGGTATGATGAGTGAACCCAGCCACCTTCATTTCCTAACCCTTTTGGAGAAGGCTGTAGCTGAGAGATAATGCCATATTTTGTAAGGAGAAGGTCTGGGGTTCAAGCTCCAGCATCTCAGGGATGCTTCCGAACTAGATGGACCATTCCCCCGATCCTGGCTGCCTGGGTCCTAAGCAGGTGACCTTAAGCAAAGTGTTGGAGCAACCCTAGTCCTCAAAGCGTTGGGCGCGCTATGCACTTTCCAGTTGCAATTCATTCAGAAAAGTGGTTAATCTGGGCTAAAGGATCTGGGAGCCTCCAAATGTAGGGGACTACAGCTCCCATCATCCCCATGGCCAATGGGCGTTGATGTCCTTCTCTCTCCCTCTCTCTGACACACGCACTCCTATCCCCCGCTCGCTCCTTCCAGCCGCCTCTGCCTTCCGGCTTCCTTCTCCTGCTTCCCACGGGCTCCATCTTCCCTTTGTGCAAAGGCAAAGACCCAACTCACCTTCCTCCCAGCCAGCGCGCGCCAGGCAGCCTGGCCACGCCCCCGGGCGAAGCAGGAAGAGGCAGGAGCCACGTTCTTTCCATTCCGCCTCTCTCAACTTGCCCGTGGCTCTCTAGGAACCAGCGCTCGGTGACTTTAACCCTTAAGGGTCTGGAGGAAAAAAGTCTCCTCCCCGCCCCCCAACATGGATGGTTAAGAGTTCTCCAAACAAGTGAAAATCAGAGAGCAACCAGGAGGGAGGGGTCTGGGAATGCAACGCAGAGAGCCAGGGTAGTGTAGTGTTTAGGGCGTTGGATTAAGAGTGGGGAGACCCAGGTTCTGGTCCATCCAAACCACTGGATGACTTTGGGCAAGCTGCACTCTCTCAGCCCACCCTACCTCGGAGGGTTGTTGTGGATAACAATGGGAGAAGGGAATGCTATGTACCTGGAGCTTCTGGAAGAAAGAGGGGGTCTGCATCTAACAAATAAATAAATAAACAAATAAATAAGAGAACAGTGTTGAAAGCTTTCCCCGGGTTGGTGCAAAGGATGGTTGAATTACACAATTACCCCGAAGCACCAGGTATCCCCTCAAGCTGAGCTGGGCATGTTCTACAGCCGTGTTTTTTCAAACTTGGCAAATTTAAGAGGGGTGGACTTCAACTCCCAGAATTCCCCAGCCAGCCTGATGGGCTGGCATAGCTAACTTGAACTCTGTCCATATTTTTTACTCCTGAAGCCCTACATGGCAAAATTCTTGGAATAACCACATGGTTGCCGTTATCAAGGAACTCGTATTGATAAGACCCAAATCAGCCTTAAACTCAAGACCAATCCCCTTTTCCTAGCTAGATAGGCCAAACTGCACTCTCCAGTGGGCCTTATCAACCAAGGACAGAAGGGGAGGGAGGTGCAACGCCTTAGCCCAGTGTTGTCCAAACCTGGCCACTTTAAGATGAGTGGACTTCATGGCTGGCTGGGGAATT